TGGTATCTCTCTTAAGCTTAACGTTATTACAATTCAAGGCCATGGAGCTAATACTGTTGTGTCAACTCATCAACAATATGGCCTCATTCACATGGAGGCTGATTATCCTCCATAATCCTGTTGATGAAATTTCATCTGACACCAAAATCACACTTCCAATACTAACATCCATTAATTCGTCCGCCCTTACCACATAAGTAGTGTGTTCACTCTACTGGACATAATTATGGTGGGGATGGGAGGAGAAGATTTGAGATAGCATGCTCACATTTAAATTTCTCAGATTCAATGTGGCAATATTTCAACGATTCATAAGTATGGACCTCTAAAGCCATATTATCTTTGTCTCGATGTGGCATTTAATACGCCATGATTTCCCCTCCTCTATTACGTCTTGCATATGCTGAATTCTCCTTAGAAATAAGCTCACTTTCGAACACCAATAAGTACTTTATTTGAACTACTTCAAGGTATATTTTGTCCAAAATGAACATCAAGAGTGGGAGGAAGGAAGGGAGGAAGACAGTGATGTGGGTAAGGGGAAAATGAAAAGGCTTTTAGTAACTAACGGCATCGATTGACTTATGAATAGAGTGGTGTGGAGGAAACCAAATGTCTTAAGTACGTTGGTCGATTCAGAATGTTGGACTATAGTGGACTATAGCTTATAAACAGTCTTCTTCACATGATGGTTCATTTGTGATATTTTATCAAAAGGGAGATCAGTCTTCATAATCATTTATTGATAAGTTTTTCTGAATGCTTTTCTGACCAATTTAAAAGTTGGAGAGAATCCTTTCACATTCTATTGACGAAGTGATTAATGACACTTAGTGCGACTAGAATGAAAGAAAGGTACGCCGCTGTTAGTTAAAATTTATTTGTGCTGTCTTTAGACCAATATCATCAATATCAACTTTGAATCATTCCTGATCTAACGAATGTGCTGAAAATGGCGTTCGTTTGTAGTATGGTGGAAACAAGAGCATGTTAGGCAAATAAAATGAAATGAAGGAGTGAAGGAGTTCAAGCGAAATGAATATTTACGAAATCAATTTTCTCGGCCTTTGAGGAAAAGAGCAAGACTTGATGCTTCAAAATGCTAGATTCTTGATCTAATTACATGTCAATAACAATTTAGTTTTGGGGACAAGTATTGCCAGGAAAACCAGGTAAGGCGAGTACTGTGGAGGGCTTTAATTTGACTTAGTGTCGGGTTATAGTTAGAAGTCAAAAGTCCAACTGCCGGTTGTTGGACTTTTTTCGCCACATGAGGATTCTTTGCCCAGGGTGCCCAGGAAGAGTTAAGTCTATCGCTCACTCCAGACATGACGTCTTTGGCCGCTCTTCCTTGGGCCCGACTTGTTTCTAACGAACTGTCAAAGTGAATAACAGTTTACGCTCATCATGAGATGTTAATTGTTCAAATAATAGAAATACCTTTGAATGAAAACTGACATAAGGGAATTTACGTGCAAATGTTGCATAATTTTAAATTGACATAAAACTCATCAAGCAGTGATACCGCTGTTACACGTAATGCAATATTATAAGTCATTTTGCATAGTTAACACTAAAATTCATCACAATCGTGTTGACTGCAACTAAGAAACCCTCATGGAATCCAAACTAGCGACAGGCAATTAGAATATGTACCTATTAATCTGGTGATAACTTGAGCAGGTCAAAATCAGAGAGCAGTACAGCTGTTAATGGAAAATAGCTTGACAAGCTCACTCTTCTGTCGCAACATTGGATCTCACTTTATCGAGCCCAACCATCTAACTCTCTGAAACTTCGCACATACTAGGCTATTACCCACCTGTCTAAATGTAAGTTCAGCACAAATCCAACAAAACATCTCACACTCTTCTCTTCCAATCCTTTTATGATGGGTCGTTCAATGTCAGGAAATGCCCACTCAACTTAGAACTGACGGGACAAAGACGCTCTAACTATACATTTTCGAAGTGAACTCCTCGCACCTTTACATTGTGCATACCCAAACTAACTTCAAGCTGTCTCAGTCCTCGATGATTTTATGAATAACATAAATACATCCCATTAATCTAAATACCCTAGAGATTCGAAGCTTTGTGCTCAGTAATGCGGGAAACGGAGAACTGTTGCCTCAAATACAATTATCATGAAGCATGGCCATTATTTCACAGGTGACACTAATCTTTATACGAAATGTGATAAACTTAATTAATTTCACATGTTGGAAGAAATATTACCATTGATGTAGTTTATGCGTGCACGTGGTAAACGGTTACTCAATATCTTTGCAATAATGATGTGTTAACAAGCACAAAGGGTGTCTAACAGTAAAATGAGATCTCATGTGGGTGCGATGAACTACCAGTTCAAGCGTATCAATTGTGACATTAAGTTGAAGACAGGGTACAACTTTCACCCTAATTGTTGCCAAGCAATATAACATTTAGAGTGAAACATTTTGTTCTATTTTAAATATTTCACTTATTTCTGCAAATACGAGAAGTCAAACTTGTGGTAAATTTTAGCACAGATAAGTTTTAAGTAATTTATTGAGTGGATCAAGATCGTGATTTTGAGTTAACCGGTAATGGTTTAATACAAATCGCAAAAAATTGACAGTAAAAGTGGTGTCTATGCAACCGGGA